GCAGCATCTGTCGCCGTAGGCACCAACGTTTCTTAAATGCGTTTCCATGGAGGGATTTTATTCTCAGTTGACCACGCAGAACAGAAAAGAAAAAAAAAAGAACATGATCCCATGTCTTTCATTTCAGTGTTGGCATGCTGTGTTTCTATGGTGATGCATTCGTGTGTGCAGGCCTATTTTAAACCTCACATGTTTGGCTCCAGCACAATCATGATGCAAAAAAACTCTCGCAGCTGTAAGCTTTGAGTGAAAGCGTTTCACAAACACTCCTTCATTTGAAACTCAGATCTTTCTTCATCACTGGCTCAGAAGCTGATTGTCTTTACTTTAAAAGTCAAGCTTTAAAAAAAAGAAAAGCGAGAGAGAAGAGAGCAAGAGGTATCAGGCTGGCCAGAGTGAAAGTACCGTTGGGAACTCTCATAGAGAGGAACTACAACAAGCCCTTTGCAAGGATCTGAAAATGACCGATTCCATCTGTTTATAATCTTTATGACAAAACAGAGACTGAAGTAAAAGTCTACGGAGCTCCAGATTGTTGCAGAGTTCATTAATCTTCATACCAACAGCATGGCTTATTTGCAACTTTGTATATTTCATTCTTAGACTGTATTTGCCTTCTTCAGTGGTTCACAGGTAGGGATGGGTACCGGTATCCGGTGCCATGATGGCACCGGTTCTGACATAAACGGTAGTAACCAGACCGAAAAGCAGCGCACATTTACTTCTCTGCGTGAGTAGCTTAATGTTGTTCGTGTGTAATTTACGTTGAGTAGGCTAACCACGTTATTACATTAATGCATGTAAGGTGAACTAGCAAACATCATCATAGCTACATGCAGCTGTCTTCTTGTTTGATGGCAGATACTCCCTTCACCCTGGCCAAAAAGGATAAAATGACCAAAGAAAAAGTGGAAAACAGCTAAACATGAGAGGTTTTTGGACAAAGTTTGTGTTTTTTCCATTGTTTAAGCTGCTTCCAGCCAAGAGTGATACCATATATGCCTCATAGCTGCAGAAAAGGCTAACATTGTTGTCTTTTTACAAAAAAACAGCTGAACATGAGAGGTTTTTGGACAAAGTGTGTGTTCTCTATTCTTTAAGCACCAGTTTAAGCACCGGCACCATTTCAAAAGTACCGGTTTGGCACCGGTATCGGATAAAACCTAAACGATACCCATCCCTATTCACAGGTCAAGTTAAACATAATTTTGTAGCTTTACATCAAATTTCTTTTGACTGGCTGCTCCTTGCAAACACAAGGTTTGAACAGCAGGTGACTAGAGCCAAGTGTGAACCTGTGTTCCTGAGAGGGCCATATTAGGATATCCTCTCCCTGTGACATCATATGTAGCAAAGATTTAAAAAAAAAAACTGTGTTACACAAGGCTAAAATTAACACAGGCTCAGCAAAACTGGACACCAGGAGACTAGAAAAACACTGCCTGGTCTGACTTTGGCATAAATAAAGGGGAACAATAGTAAATATGCACTGAATTTCCTACATTTACACACTGTAAAGCTTAGGTTACCCAGTAGTTTCATGCTGGCAAAGCTGGCTGTCAGTACTTCTTACAGTGTGCAGCTGTACTGCAGATTCAGGTCACTTTCAGAAAACCAAACCCCACATGCTCTTAATCTCTACACACGCCTGACTCATCACTATCTCCCATCATGCACCTGAGGCCACTGGCATAAGTGGGAAATACAGACCTGTTGGTCTGTATCTCAGCACCCATCTTGGCTGAGTCACTTTTGCCAGAGTCTGAGTCGCACACATGGAAACTTTAAAGCAGTAACTGTAACAAGTAACTGAATACTGGTCAATTAAAAGGAGTTAACTGTGAGAAACACGTCATTTTTAAAGGTACAGCCTGTTGGTCTGTATCTCCAGCAGATACGAACATTTCTGCAAAAACATCACAAATAACTTGCAAAATCTGGCGAATCTAGAAGGAACAGCTGCATATATATGGGATTGGACTCTCTGTGCTTTTGAATACTGATGAAAGGAGAGTCCCTCAAGTTCCAACACAGACCAGGAGAAACAGAGTGTGACAGAGAGAGACGGACAGGAGGAGAATAAAAGGAGGCATCTCCGTCTGATGGCTGCTCTCGTGTGAACTCACAACTGAGAGGAAACGCCTCAATTGCCCAAAGGAGTTGTGTAACAGTGATGGTAGCGCAGGATGGACCGAGATAATCTGAGGCTCCGTGTGTGCGTGTGAGAAAGAGAAGAAATAAAATGTGTGTGAAGAAAAAAATAATGTGGAAATGTTTTTTGGAAGCTATGAGTATAAGAATTAGAGCTCGTAGGGGCAGGTTGTGTGTATATACGTGTGTGTGTCTGCATGTTTTTGTGTGTCCTGACTATGCAGAAATGATGACCTGTATTTCTGTGGCCCAGAAGTGCCAAAAGGCATCTTTTATTAACTACAGTTTGGCTGAGCTTGACCCATTTGAGATTAGGTTGTGTGTCTCTGTTTCACCGTGCATGTGCGTGTGGACACGAGCCAGCCGTGCATGTCCGCACACGTGCACGTACGAGCGGGGCTAAATCTTGTTGCAGTTTTACATCTCCAAACAGTGCACGTCATCAAAAACTGTAATTAAAAGTCGATTTTTTTCCCCCTCAGATTTTGTTTACCCCCCCACTATCTCCTCCATGCTGACTTCTCATCTTGTAAATATGCCTGTTTATAATCTATAGCCTGCAGCCCAGATAGGTAAAAACTCATTTCATTAACCAGGAAGGAGGAGGACAACATCAGAGGACACGCACACAAACTAATCTTACATTTTCTATTTATCTTCTGCCACTTTGCCTGCTAAAGACAAGCAGCGTACTTTGGGGACAACGAAGAAGACGAGTGGGGAAGAAGTGAAGTGTAAGCTGGTGTTTATGAGAAAAGATCTCATGAAAATTCACCGTTATCTCCATGGATTTTTGTCTGAAACCGGGAGCCACAAACTCATTAAAAGTTGTTTTTTAAAAACACTAATGATAAAAAACTTTTATCCAGTAACTTGTAGGACGGGAAGGATCTAGTTAGGAATGTGTTTTCCTATTTTAACTCACTCTATTCTGCAGATTTAGGTTATAGCCACCATTTTTTATTATTTTGATGTGTTTTTTACACATTGGTGTGTCTCTATAAACTCAGCTTGTTTTCATTCCTATCAGATTTTGCTGTTTTGTCAAAGCCAATTACACCTCACAGTGCTTTGGCCTCAGTGCAGTGATGCATCAGGAATGACAATAGTGGATTCACACAGAATTCCTCAAACACACCTGCTTGTAAGGACCATTCACTATTACAGTTTATACTGAACTTTGTTCACTGAGCAATTTTTAAAAAACATTTCATGACCAAGCATTATGTTTCAATGTGGAGAGTTAACATTGTGAAAGGCAAGCATTATAACCTAAACTACAGCAGTTTCCTCCATCTGTGCAGCAAAAGATTATTAGTTCCATTTGTCACAGCTTCTTTTGATAAATGGGGATGAAAAGGTATGCAAAAATATATTATATGCATGATAACAGTCAGCTCAGTGAAAACAAGCTACCATATAAAAGCCTTTTTATTGCATTTGTGGTTTATTTCGAGACAGCTGATTGGCTAACTAGAGCAGCTGCTATAATTCACATTATCGAATTAATCCTGCAGATTTTTCAGTTTCAGTCTGTCAGTAGGTTTGATTATTTAAGTGATTTTTGATGCCGGGGAGTTAATCAGCAACAAAAATCAGTTGTGATGCACTTTCAGAGAAACTGGTATTTTTATTTGTCTATAGGTTTGATGAATTTAATGCCAACATTCCCATCATTTAGAGAACTGGAAATAAGGGAAAGTCTATTGTAAGTGTCTTTTTATTCATACTAAAGGTCTCTTTGAACATCAGAGGTTTTCAGCACACTCAATAGATGTTATTAGCTGCTATCACTGCAGCCTCAAACTAACAGGGTCTGTAGGTTTTTCCTTTGTAACCAGTGATAACACAGATCTGTGTGAACTTGAAAACTAACCGTGCACTACTCAGTGAGTGGGTGTCCTCACACACACAATTAGGATAATATTAACTGAGCTGACAACAACAAGATTGTCCCATTTTCACCTAATGTAACTTTTGTGATTTGATCAGACTGATGCAATCTAATTATTGGATCCTTGAGTGGATGTCATGTGAGTGAAACCTCCACCATGCCTCTATCCACTTTATGTTTTACACTTTAACTGCCTGCTGTCCCTAGTAGAGAGTCGATAGAGGATACTGCTCACAGGTGATATGTATAAAAATGATAACAACTGATGTAAGAATTTCAATATGGTGTTTAGATCTGAAATAAGTGTTCTGGGGGAAAAAAAAGGACAAAATCTGCTTTATGTCCAACTGTTCTCGTGGATATTGAAGATAAATTATCTAGAAGCCTGCAGAGTGAAATACAGTACAAGTTCTTCATCGAGGAGTTTTTGGTGGCTACCCAAAAACTCAGTATAGGAAAATGAGATTTCATTTACTCAAGAATAATAGACATTTTTGTTCAGCTAAATAGTTGTAATTAACATTAAAAAGCACAGATTTCTGCCCAGTAATGCAACACAGACCCATCGCCCTGACTGTATGTACTCACGAGTGTAGTCGCCCTGCTAAAGGCTTAAGCTAACCCAGGAAAAACCCTGAAGTAGAAAGTGAAACCAACCAACTATAAGACCATCTATTTTACAAAGATGACTGGCATTTCTGATGAATAATGCAGATTACTGGAGCTTCAGACACGCAGGAATTGTCTCTATGTGCGATCATGCAAAACTAAACTGGGCAGAGCAAGGGACTCTCCCTGCCAAGGTTGGTAGTTCTACTCCCGTGGGTGCCACTCGAAGTGAAAAAACAGCACTCATGGCAGCGTGTTTGATGAAAGCTTTGCGCAAATGGCATATAAATGAGCATTAAACCATCCGTACTCTCTCACACACACATTTACACACAGTCTGACTTACTGACGCACTCTCCAGAGATAGCATTAAGGAAATGCCCCTCTTGGCAGTTTGCCCTGCAGTGGCCACTCTGCAGGGACACCAGCTGGGGGCAGGCGATGCAGTCGGCCTGGGAGGGACCGGAGCAGGTCTGGCAGGAGGGATGGCACGCTGAGAGACAGGGGGACAAAGACAGGTGATGACATACTACATATGCGCATGGAAACTCACAACAGCACAGTTCAACTGGACTGCTTGGACGTGTTAGTGCTGTTGGAACACTCCGGTGGTCACTAAAAACAATGAAGCCTTTGGTTTCGAGTCTTCCTGCATACTGCAGAGTGTTCATTTCTCATGTTACGATGCCATGCAGAGCAGGGACATAACTACTTTGTGACTGACAGCTCGCTGCCAGGCTCGGCTCAGCAAGCAATATCCTCTGTTTTTTCACTCAGTCAGACCGGCCACAAGATAAAGGGTGTGTATCCTTGATATACAGTTTGTAGGTTGTTCATTAGCCACTCTTTAATTTTGCCTCATGCACGGTGCAGGGTGGATGGTGTACAGCAGGTTTGTCAGAGCTTAATTTCTTGTTGGCTTTTAACAAACAGCTGGCTTCAGGAGACGGAGACAGAGCTGATGGAGAGTTGATGCTAATGCTTTCTGGCTTCGTCGTTATGAGCCATAACTTTCACATTACACGTCATTTGGTGCATTTAAGCAACACACAGCGTTCTTATTGCCTCACATTAAAAGTCACCAACGCCACTTGTACCAAACGTTTATTCTCATCTACACTGAAACACGATTCTTCTTCTGGGTACTTTCTAATGAGCCAGTCAGTACTGAAGGAGATAAGGCCAAGTCAGCAAGCAGAGCCCATTTATTGTGTAATCCAAGACGATGTGAGTGCATCGCTCTTCTTAACTGTCTTGGTATCCATCTTCATCGGTCAATTACTGAAGCCAGGTTTAAATATGTGATCCTCTGAGGTCTTTAAAAAGTTTTTTTCTTGTTGGTTTTTACAAGATGAACAATAAAATTTAGCACATTTTAAAAAGACCGAAGAATAAAGCTGGTAAATGGAAGATAGAACGGGTCATCTCGTTTCAAATGAGGTCAGAGTCAATACACCGAGCTGAGGTAATGAGTTGGAGATTAGAGCAAATGGATTTTCATTAAGTAGGCGAGTCATAGAGGGGCGGGGGGTAGATGGGGAGAAGAGCCCAGCTAAGGTTAACATGTGTTCACTGAGGGCCACACTGAGGAATGAGAGTCATTTAATGGGTCAGATATATAAAGTTTGGACAAACATAGTAATAAATTCTGATTACCGCTCTGCGAGACAGCCACATGCATCCAAATCAAGTTACCTGTAGCACTCGCATACATTTCACAGCTACTGGTAGCCCAGGATATTTACCAAAACCAAATAAATCTGTGTATGTAAGATAAAAATGATGAATTTTTTATTTTATTCTTTCACGTCTGTAAGTCTTGCCAGTTCGGCTTTACAGGCAAAACCATCACAACTTATTAGCTGTATAAATCTTTGACCCTGTGCTTTGGTGGTGCTGTGGCTTAGTTGATTAAAGCAACTGTCTAGTAAACAGGAGATCTTGGGTTCGAATCCTAGCAGTGCCTTTGGGGTAGGGATAGCTCAGTAGGTCGAATTGTCACCCCATGATCGGAAGGTTGGGGGTTCGAATCCACTGAACGGGTACCCCTGAGCAAGGTACCGTCCCTACACACTGCTCCCCGGTGTGCCTGCTTAGTGGCTGCCCACTGCTTCACTGAGTGAATGGGTCAAATGCAAAGAGAGTAATTTTTTTGGGTCATACTGAATAAAACACTAGTTATTAGTCTTGTGTTGATGTGGTCCTGAGAACCAGCACCCATCTGTTTTCTTTTGGAACCAGTTGTTGGTATTTTTCTCAGTCTCGGGTTTTAAACACTGGCAAATAAAAGAAATCATGAAATAGGTGAGTGAATCAAGAATAAACGCCTAGAACCACACATTTGCCATTGTTTCACTTCCTTTTTTAAGGAGCAGTTAACCTCGAGACCATTTTTGCAAAGTAAAGACTTTTTTTGTGTGTTTTACTGTTAAGGTTAGAATTTAGGCTAAGCAAAACTATGACACTGAGTGTGAGTGTGAGTACAAAAGCAGATATGTGTGTGTACGTGCTCTCACCTTGGCATTGGTTGTCCTGAATAAAGAAGCCTTGTGGGCATGTGGGGACACAGCGGCCCTCGTACAGGCTGGACGGGGAGGGACAGGACGTACAGTTGTCTGCAGATGGCCCAGCACACTGCCAGCAGGAGGGATGACACTCTGAAAAAGAAAACAAAGAGCAGCGACATGGTCACCATGAAAAAAAGAAGTATAAAGGAGAAAGAGAGGAGGAGGCTCAATCCCCAGCTGTGCCTTCTTCACTATAGCACAGCCACAACAGAAAAAAGATGAGTGGATGGCACTTTTGTTCTAGAAATGGGTTTTGGGAGTTGAATTAAAAGGAGATGGACCAACTTTTGAGATTTTGCTATTGTCACAATAACAAAATCTCAAGAAAAACAGTATCCAAGGAACGACTGGAGTTCCTTATGTAAACTTCTGGGACTAACTTTATAAATTGCCCAGCTTACAGTTTTCAACCGATCCTCTCTGCTAACATCGCAAAGCAGTTTTTGCTAAATTCGTACAGTAGCTACGTTACAGTGAAGCGTTACCTCAGCTTGCTTGATGAATATAGTTGGCATCTGCTGTTGTATGCTTCTCAACCTTCAAGTCAAGTCAAGTTTAAAAAAACCCAACTTAGTTTATACAAGCTGTTCTAACAGGCATATTATTACAGTTTTAAACTACATATCCTATGTACCGAACTGCAACATCACAGTACTGTACAGCAGCGGTCTCCAACCTTTTTTGCGCCACGGACCGGTTTATGCCCGATAATATTTTCATGGACCGGCCTTTAAGGTGTCGCGGATAAATACAACAAAATAAAACTAGTACCGGTACCAAAAAAAAGAAGATTTATTCATAACACACGTGAAAAGACCCAGGAAAACAGAGTTAACGATAAAAACGATAACAAAATAACGCTGAAAACCGATAAAAACAATGAAAACCATACATTTCACACCGGATATGTAGAGTCCTGAAGGCAGATCACTAAGTTCCACTGATAATTTTAAAACTAAAAGAAAAGAAAAGACATAAACCAGAAAACTTTGCAAGTGTCTTCAAATGACACAGGTAGTAATTTTAAATACTAAACCATCTGGAGTGTGCAGATACAGTACAGTAAGAAGTAGGTTGAGGGAAGTGCATTTGTTTGTACACAATTTATATACAGCCACTTATTTATGAGTCATGCATTAATGCAACTTAAAACTGAGTCCTGTTTCTTAACTGCTCATCCTTCTCAGGGTCACGTAGAACTGAAGCATGCTGACAAAGAGGCAAGAGTCAGGGTACACTAAGACACAGACTAAGACAGAGACTCCTATTCCTGTAAAGTTATACAGTAAAAAAGAAACACAGCCCATGTGACTGTGTCTGAACTAAATTCAATTTCCACCACTGTTCCTGCTATTTTACTGCCACTTCACTGTACCTTGGTCCTTCCCTGCTGGCATGCAGAAATCTGATTCTCAGTAGCTTTTAGTCAGCTCCGTCAGCCAGAAGTAATGTAACACTCAGATAAGGCCAGCAGCCAGATTCCCCAATCAGAAGTTACGCATTAACACCAGAGTCAGTGCCAGCCCAGAGAGCCTCCTCCAAGGCGGACACACGCCAACCAAGATGCAAATCTATAATATGCTCCACTGTTAAATTTGGACTGCTGAGATCAAAACAAACCTTCCACACGGATCATTGTAAAACACATCAGAAGATTTTAAACTGCATAAATTACAGGTGAACTTTTTAAAGCCGACACGGTATCTCGGCTTCTGAATGAATGACTAATTAATGAGAACTACAGCTAAGAAAGTGCCGATGAACAGAAAAGGATCAGCAGATGATCCTGCACAGAAAAGACATCTGTGAGAGCTGCTCATAGGACAGCAAGTTACATTTTAACTTATTATTGCTCATTGCAGTTTGTCACTGATGGCTGGTTACTGGTGCAAATTCCAGGTTTGCGTTGCTTAGCAACCCTCTAATTATTTACTATCCTGTCATCTGTCAATTAACCGTATCCTATATTCTGATGAATGGTCACTTCCATTGCTCGCCTTACAGTTTAGCCCTGTTTGACTGAGGATTTCACGTTGCCTTTTTCACAGAGACAGCAGTAATTTCACCTGCAGTCACTGAATTGCTCGCCTCTGGTC